CAAATAAATGCATATAATTGCATATTTGGAATAAAAATTATGCATATATATGCGCATATTTTGATTGAATTTAACTGCATATATTCCGCGCTTTACTGATGAGTAACGAGTACTCGAATACCGATTAGTTACTTTTTCCTCACCACTAGTTTACATTTGGTAAGTTTAATCGCGGAAAGTGCTGTGCGCCAGTAAACTTGCTGTAGTGTTTGTGCCTACACATTTTCAAATTAACCAAAAGTTAAATTTTTAAGTTGTTCCGAACCCTAGGTAGTGTTGGATGGTTACCAACTAAAAAACCCCCTTTTGTACTACGAGTTTTAGGAAGTTATCCTTTAAAAGTTGAATTCCTCTCTAAGAATGCATACTAGCTGCTTACTAGCATGGGCATCTTATTAATTTAACGCCCTTACTTATACATGCATGCTACTTACTACAAACATATACGTTATTAGCACACTTACAACTTACACCGTTGGCTACCTGTTGCCCTGGTGGGCGAGTTCGTGTCTGGGTCTTACAAATAATTCAACAATTTTTCGAACGCGGTATCTCTTCATTTTATTCGTGTGATCTTTGCATCTTATGTCCCGTAATACTCATATTTTCTTAAACATTTCATAAGCAAATCAAAAATTGACTAATTGATCACTATTCCACTTATTCATTTTGCTTAAAACCTTTCATACATTCAGAAATGTTTTTCGGGCTTTGAAGCCGTGATCCATGGGAATGTCTTCCTGACGTTTCGTCCACAACTGCGGTGGACATTATCAAAAGCGATAAGGCAGTGGGCGAAGTGATCTCTCGTGCTTTCCGACTAAGCCCGGCCGTGTGAGCTCCTGCGTGAGTAGTGGGCGGAGCTTAAAATGTTTTGGCGCACACGGCGTTTGTCACAAAACGCGTTTCCAATCTGGACTGAGTGCCGTAATTTCTTCTTTCCTATTAAAGTGTTTACACTACGTTTTGTGGTGCCGATATTTACTCTGCCACAACTGCATGAAACTGTAGACGCCTGGTGCTGATAAAGGATTGAAACCCCACCCACTCCAAAACAATTGAAGCCCCGCCCACTCCTCATGCACAAGCTCACACGGCCGGGCCGCATAAATACGACAGGAGATCCAGTAGTTAAACGGATAGAGAGTTCGTACTCCGAATAGTAAACATCGTGCTACGCATTGCGCTCTGCAGAAACACAGTGTATTTCGAAGTTAAAACTATCTACAAGAAATTATTCTTGGCT